TTTTTTCTAATATGGTCGCCACACCCCCACAAAAGGGTATGTTCGAGATGGCTCCACATCTGGATTTTTTTTCTCATGAATATAAACATTTATGAGAAGTTTCATTCGTTCATAATGTGGGCACAATTTGCCCAAGGTGGGCATAATAATTACCCCCCCCCCAAAAAAAAGGGTACTTTTCTGGTGGCTCCACAACTAGAAAACACTTGTAACCTATATAATTATGTCTTTGTGAAGTTTCCTGCTTTTGTGACAAGTGGGAACAACCGATTTCACTGCGGGCATGATGAGTCTCCCCCTTTTTTAAATTGCTGCCACGCCCCTGAAAGGGTAAAGTTGCGATGGCTCCACATCTAAAACATTTTCTTGCATGAACATAAACATCTGTGCCAAGTTTCACACTTTTATGAAAAAGTGCACAGTTTCGTCACATATACGCTAGACTAAGACGGTAATGTGCAGTCATGGTGTTTGTCGTGCTGCATTGTGAGACGGTTTATGCTGCACAAATTCCCGTTCGTAGTGCAGTGTCCCCCGCGTTACAACGTACCGTGTACCTTTCATTGCACACTTTGGATCCTTCCGTAAAATGACCAGCAGATTTCATCCACTTTTATTGCAGTGTCCGTTCCGTGGGCCGCACTTGACACAAAACAGACTGTTGAAAACGCTTTCATCGCCAAAGACGCCTGAGGGTCTCACATTTTTCCTGGTCCCATCATTTTCATCTGTTTTGAGGCGTATTGTTGCAATACAATTATTCTATCCTTTTATTGCCTCTTACTGTTACAGAAAATCGGGAGTCAGGCGCACATGACGTGTATCCCACATTGAAGCCGTCGGGGGGCGAGACCTACGTCCGATGGGGGCGCACTACTTGTCTGAATGATACGAGCACGGATATCGTGTATGCAGGTGTGTAGCTTCTTTGTTCACCACAGGTGCAAATTACAGATTGTAAAAGCTTAATATTTTAACTTGATACTAAAGTAGACTATAGTCTTAAGCTTGAGATTCACACTACGCCAAAAATGTCGTCATTGCTCTCTAAATGTTAAATAATGCGAAACTGTTTTTGAGTGATTTTTCACTGCTTTGGAGTACAGTTTGTGCAACTTTTTGAGTGTTTTTTTTTTTTTTTACAATGGACCACCGTGAAAACCGTTCAAAAAGAGTTAAGGCAAAAAAAGTCTCCGGTTTCTGGTATGCGCACGCGTCGCCATAGCCATGCGCGTCGGCAAAATGAAAAAGTTGTTTTTCACTGTAAGATGACGCCTCAAAACCGCCAAACTCACTGGTTTGACTGGAATGCTGCTGCTACACAATTTTAACGTGTTTTTAGATGGGGTTGCGATCGAGTATAAGCTTTATGTGGCCTCTCTGGACTCCCATATATTTTACACCGAATTTTGTCTGGCACCATTTGCAGTCATTAGCCAATATTCTGAAGGAAAAAAGCGAAAAAAAAACGCGTCGCCGCACCACTTTGGGGGCAAGCTCCATACCAGAAACCGGAGACTTTTTTTGGGGGGGGGGCCTAATTAACTACCACTCTTTTTGTAGGGCCATAATTATATGGGGGACAAATTCGAGTGGGTTTTCAGTCTTTCACATGTAGAGAAGACTGCGCCTTCTTTCGCTAAAATATGGCTGATCAGACTCTGGTTACGCCACTGATAATGCATTCTTTTAAAAGCTTTATTTGATAAATATTGTCGTTTTTGTTCACAGGCATTGCCGCGGGTGCGCATTATAATAACAAGGGTGGTTCTGTTGATTTCTTCTGCCTCCCGTCTGACCCGGAGTGGTCGGCGTCTCACAAAGACGGGGTCAACTCCGGCTCCTTCCTGTACGGGATGGAGTACGAAGTTTCCGCTTTCGATCCCTTCTCCCACGAGAACGCCGAGTTCCTGCAAGACCGTGACGTCCCGTGCGCCGTGTGCCGCCTCGTGGACCGCGGGACCCAGCACCTGTTCCCGGCCAAGCTCGGCTGTCCTGAGAACTGGACGGAGGAGTACAGAGGCTTCCTCATGTCTGGATATCACGGCCATGAGCAGCGGTCCAAAGCCGTGTGCGTGGACGAGGCGCCCGAGGCGATCCCCGGCAGTAAGACCAGCCAGGACGGCGCGCTGCTCTACATCATTGAGGGGAAGTGTGGCTCCCTCCTGTGCCCCCCTTATGTCGAAGGGCGTGAAATAACATGCACAGTCTGTAGCATCTAGAAATCAATGCACGGTCTTTACACCGAACCCCGTCTTGAAAAAACTGTTTTGTATACAACGTTTTTTTTAAATAATACTCCATGCATTAACTTTTTCATTATAATTGGCGCTGGCTCCCATTTTACCACGAGTAGTAAGAAATGACTGTCCGTCGGTATAGGGGTTGATAGCTAATTATAGTTTATGTTTTGAGCGTTCCTTTGGTGAGAAGTAATGTTGTTTTATTAACCGAGCCCGTGGTTTGGTTCTTTCTGCAATAATAATAATAACTTCAGCCTATACCTGAACAGTCGGGTACCCCAAAGTCCCCAAATATACTGCCTTATAACGGTGTAAACAGGATTCAAGCTACAAGTACCAAAGCTTTGCTAGGTGAGGACCTCAGGAAGAATGTTTAGAAGCACCCTTAAAAAAATTACGTTTCCTTTAAACAGACTCAGACTTGAGTACCACTCCTTTTACAAATTCTTTGACATTTTCAGCATAACCTTTTGTCCAAATATTCATTTTTCAACCCGCAGTCAAAAGACAAATGCTTTTTTTGGTTGGTAGGTTTTATTTTTACTGCAACAGGTTTTATTTAAGTATCCTCGTCGGACTCAGCAAAGACCTCGACTACAGAACTCATCTACACTATCTCCGAGCAGAGGTGACTACGTTCCAGTGAATAGAGCTCTGATAATAATAATATTTTACCGGCAATGGGTCATTAGTGAGACTTTCCCTTAGATTTGTGCACAATTTTTTTCCAACTTAAATGTGCCCTAACCCAATATTCCCTTGTAATTTTTCCACGAATTTCGGTATGTTTACTAATTAGACCACGAGCAACAAATATAACCTAATTGCGACGGCAAAGTTTTACCTCTAAAGGGGGGGGGGGGAGTCTGTGCCATTAGGGAGACAGTTATGTGTCTCCCTAATTACGATAACTTGTCTCCCTATAATGGTACATTTAGGAATATACATGTATAACTTTCATTGCAAAGAATACCATTGAATTAAATACTCAGATGCATGAATTTCATTAAAGTGATCGTTATCCTTTGCTTTAAAGATACATGTAATGAAAGATACTTGAAAAAAGTAGGCGACCCAACTAGTGATGGGCTGGAAAGAGGTTTATTTATTGACTCCGGTTACGAGTACAGGGTTGATGGTCGGGATGCAAAAGCACTAGTGGTGTGTGTATATGATGTGTAGATCCAACAATCACGTGTGGGCGTGGTAGGTGTGTGGTTCTAAAAAGGAGGAATAAACACAAAGGGGAACTAAATTACTATGTGCACCGGCCAAGGAAACCCTTATCATGTCATTAAGATTAACAATATACATGTAAACTTATGAACTTATGTGTGCCCATGATCAGTCAAGCAATATGCACGTAGGCCTACATAACATGATTTACATGAACGAAATGGAGGAAAAGGGCCCAAATACTTATAAACATCGCCATACGTTGGTATAATAGCACAGGATTTATGGAAAGACCCTAAATATTCCCAGTAAAGTGCCCACAAAACATGTGTGTATAAGCACGCGTATGGCATGTATGGCATGACATGTAATTCCCATACGTTTAATAGGCGAATTTTTTTTTAAACGAAAAAAATTATACATTTTAAACAATGACATCATTTTGGCATCTTTGTCTTTTGCATCTAGCCCATATAAAGCTGGTAGGCCTATGTCATTTCCTGAGTCAAAGTGGCGGCCATTTAAAAAAAAAAAAGCTGGCGGCCATCTTGAAAAATAGCCCGTTCGGGCGGCCATTTTGGAGGGGAAAAAAGGGCCTCCTTTTTTCAAAAAGGCAGAAGCGTTAGAAGCACCAGATATTGTCCGTTAGTGTGCATAATCGTCGGTTTTGAACAGCGCCCCCATCGACGGATGGTTCAAGTCCCCCCCCCCCCCCCTAATTGATTGTACGGAGGCAAAGTGTCCGGGGGAAAAGACGTGTCTTCATTTCAGCACGAATATGCAAGTGCCTTTTTCAAAAAAAAATTACCCCCCCCCCCAATGAAAATGACCGTGCTACGCCACTTTACTATACAGAAAAGTTTAGTATCTGCAGAGCCTCATTCATGCTGCCACATCAACTCCACCAACGACAAAGCAACACCGGACAAGTATAGCTGCAGCGTCAGCAGCAAATGCAACAGAAACTTGGAAATACATTTCCAGATAAACTGATTTGGGTGTGGGGGCTAATGTTATGATGCTTGTAAAAAAAAAAAAAATAAGGGGAGGGGGGGAAATAATAAATGGATTGCTAAAGTTCCTAAGTTTATTCTCAAATTGCCATAGAATGCCAGGAGAAAGCATCGTAGATTTCGACCATTTCCAGGGGGGGCATGCCCCTGTACCCCTGGCAAGGCGTACCTTCAACACTCTGGCCCCCGCCCTATCATATCCCTCCTGCACCCGTTTCCTGAAAGCTAGATCCACCCCAAACAAAATGCTCAAGGTACACTACATTGCCATCTGCAATGTCCTTGTTTGAAATGAACTTTGTATCCATTACGGTACTTTCCCGTCTTGTTGACATTATTCTGTCTGTATCCTGTTGAACTATACGACACAATTTCAATATTGATACTTTTTTTCCGTGGCTTGCTGTCAAGTTGCTAAACCTTTCGCATCCTCGTGTTCCTTGTTTGCTTCCATAAAATCCGATTGGTTTCTTGTTCAAGCCTCAACAATAGGCATCACATTATGGTTGATGTAACCAGATGCATAACCGCTTACAGAGGGGTTTTCAAAGCCACGGCTTCCTTGCCGGTTTGGCTTCAGCTGTAGATTCAAAATATTTAGGCCTTTCATGTTCAAATCAGATGGAATTCCTCTAATTGTGGCCTCATAATTTTATTAAAGGATTGATGTACCAGAGGCAGAACACGGACCTATTTTGATTCGGAGTCCGATGTCAGAAGTATTCACAAACCTCCTGGAGCCTAAGCCGGGAGGAAGCCAATGATTGGAAAACCCCAAAGTCTGTTCGCCATCACTGACAAACTCACTAGGTATCTGCCAGTCAGAGTCCTGGGACCGAACGACGGTGCAGCATTCTTATTCTCAGTTACTAGACAACATGGCTCCCAATCACAAGCTTTCCGAGGCATCTGTCGATGAAGAATATCTCACGGGGAAGAACTACCCGGCTAAGGACGGGAGGTTCTGGCTCTGGTTTTTGGTGGGAACGCTGCTGAATGTGTGCATCATCGCGGCCTCAGTCGGCCTGACTGTGATGTACGTCCACACGGAGCTGCAGTCACTCAAGGTACGTTCCTATAACACCGATTTCAGACTGGAGTAACGGCGTCTCACCGAAACAAAATGTTTCTGAGATTCGAATTAGAAAGATTGACGTTCGAAGCAGTAATTGGCGACAACATGCGCAATTTTTCAAAAGATCGACCTTTTCAGTCATTATTTTGGAACGACTCCGCAGTCTTTCAACAGGAAAATAAGTTCAAATGTTTAAAACTGAGGCTTATCTAAATTTAATTTGGTCTTGAATGACTACAACTTTTGGTTGAATTTAACATAAATTACAACCCAAGCAATTGGTTATAGAACAACCCAAGTTTGGGTAGTTCCAGTTTTCACCCTTTCTTTGGTAAAATTAACCCAGGCAATTTTTCAGTGTAGTATAATTATGTAACTCGTATCTTTATTTTCTGGAAGGGCACTCAAAGATCATTTTGGTCTCTGATTCTACAAGTACATTACGTTCTTTTTTTTTTTAATCCGAGTTCGAAAAGATGAGACAAGGGGAGGGGTAGGGGCACAGGCCTTGAGAGTAAGGGGCGGTGCCCCCATCCTCCTTCCACTTTAATTTTAATATCCATTCGCAGGGGATAAAGGGGGTCTCGATACAATTGGAGGGATATTCATATTAAGATATGAATTTGCGTCGGGGTGATGTAAATCAAATTAGGTTTTGCCCTTCAACCGTCCTGGATCCGCCATTGAGTAAAAGTGATAAAAAGTCACTCGGGTGGGACTCGAACCCACGATCTCCTGATTTTTAATACATATACCTCTTACCACTGTGGTGCATTAAATTATTATTTTTTTTACCCAGAAGGTTTATAAAACGCAAAAAGTTATACTTGTTCAAAATACACCCTGTTATCGGTTGCACATTATATTTTAACTGTAAACTTTTACTATGAAAGACATGAGGGGCGACGGAACCGGGGTGGGACACTTTCCCCTCAGATTTTTACAGGCCAACAAAAGTGCCCCTCTCGCGGTCTTAAATGTGCCCCCTCGAGATGAAAACAAACCTGCCCCTTAAACGTATAGGCCTACACATGAAAGCATTATGATCGCGCTTCAAAATTGTCTCCTCTCTAGTAATGCAAAAGTCCCCTTTAAAAACACAATACCCCTCACGCATTAACACGATTGTGAACCTTCTCGATCGAAGATGGAAAACTAGCCCTCGAAAGCACAAATACCCCCCTCGCAATGATAAAATTGTGCCCCTCTCGCGATGGGAAATTGGCCATCAAAAACAATAGTGCTCCTCTCGTGATGACTTTTTATATCCAGATGGAAAACTGCCCCGCCAGCACAATTAGTGCCCCGCTCTCAACATTCAAACTGTGCCCCTCTCAAGATGGAAAACTGATCTGTAATTAAATAATTATATTGTGCTTCTCACGCGAATAAAATGGTCACTAAACTGGCCATCAAAAGTAACACTGCCCCTCTCACGATAAAAAATGGTCCCTTTACGTAGGCCTAACTAGTCAAATTCAGAGAGGTTACTGTCGGGGGTGTGCTGGAGGCCGAAGGGCTTTCTCAAGTAAAAATTACCTTATTTCAAAACAATACGGCTATATTATGACTATTTCAGGAATAGGCATATACACTGTAATTTTGTGAGTAAGTGAATTAAGATTTTTAATTTTTTAACGCAAACATAAAAGTGTATATCAATGTTTTTAGTAAATTTGTTCCGGGTAACTTGTAGTCCTTGCAATGTGAACGAAACCAGATTCACAATGCAAGTGCCCCTCTTTGGTGATGCCCCTCCCCCCCCCCCCCCGTGTTAAAAGCGTTCCGCCGCCGCTGAAAACACTTGTTGTACTCCGAGTAAAGGGGGATTTACCAAACTTCAGTTCGCCTCCAGTTAGCTTGGTCTTCAGGAGAATTTAAAAATTGTCCCCCTATGTTACATGTGGTTACCAGGAAAGTTGCATCCAAAACAGAAATAAGGTTACTAGACATTCAAATTTCAAAGCCAGAAAAAGCAAATTTTGAGGCATTTTGCCACAGGTGGCTAATTGGTGACGTGCACGAGTACCCTTCAACGGCCAGAAAAGGAGATTTGGGGGAGACCTAGACAGGTTCCCTGTTCATCCACTGCGTAATTCGAACGATCCAAAGTGTTGGGGGGCAGTGATTAGTCTGGGAGACCATCGCAAGTTTAATTCGAACCAGTACAGTACGCACACGCAGTGTTCTGTCCAATTAGGGGCTCTCAAAAGTGGTAAAAACGCGCCCTCTTTGTTGGCGCACAGAGCCTGTGGACTATCAAATATCCTCTTGCACAGCAAGGGGCTATGATTTGCGAGCTGATTCGGCGATTAATTATGCAAAACAAGACTTTGTCAAGATTCTGACTATTCAGCGGGCGCCTTCTATCTTTGGTAACCCGTTGTTGTATTACAAAACATGTCAGCCATATTGAACAATCAACAACTTGGTCCATATTTCTGATCGAAATTGACGTCACAGTTTCTAAAGTCGACTCAGATTGGCTGACGCGCGGGGTTGCATAACTTTTGCACGTCAGGATATATCAGACGTTCGATCGTGGCTCTGCACACGTGAATGTCTGATCCTCAGACTACAGGTGGCTGTGGGGCCCATATATACAGAAGCAGTCTAGTATCTGCAGAGCCCCATTTATGCTGCCACATCAACTCCACCAACAACAAAGCAACACGGGATAGGTATAGCTGCAGCAAATACAACAGAAACTTGGAAATACATTTCCCCAAAAAACTGATTTGGGTGTGGGGGCTAATGTTATGATGATTGTAAAAAAAAAAAAAAAAAAAAGAGGAGGCAAAAATAATCAATGGAATGCTAAAGTTCCTCAGTTTATTCTCAAATTGCCATAGAATGCCAGGAAAAAGCATCGTAGATTTCGACCATTTCCAGGGGGCATGCCCCTGTACCCCTGGCAAGGCGTACCTTCAACACTCCCCCCGCCCTATCATATCCCTCCTGCACCCGTTTCCTGAAAGCTAGATCCACCCCAAACAAAATGCTCAAGGTACACCACATTGCCATCTGCAATGTGCCAATGTCCTTGGTTGAAATGAACTTTGTATCCATTACGGTACTTTCCCGTCTTGTTGACATTATTCTGTCTGTATCCTGTTGAACTACACGACACAATTTCAACTGATACTTTCTTCCGTGACTTGTTGTCAAGTTGCCAGACAAGCTTCCATAAAATCCGATTGGTATCTTCTTCGAGCCTCAACAAATAGGCATCACATTATGGTTGATCTAAAAGGAACCGCACCAGATGCATAACCGTTTACAGAGGGATTTTCAAAGCAATGAGCAAACAATTACTCTCCTGTCTGTATCTGTTAGCCTTGACCAAGGCTATCAGCTTGTTCCCATACGAGCTTGTTCCCGCTACCGCACACAGCGCGCGCCATGACACACTAGTCTTTTTATTCTATACAAGCTGATTTACCCGATCATAGATCGGGTATATAGGGCGTAGTGTTGGGGATGAAAATGTGGGCAGTTAAATGTAAATGGGGGATCATTGAGGAGACATGGAGTTACAGAAAAGCTATTTTTGTGGTGTGATCTGAGGCAATTTCTGACCACTGAAACCAATTTGAGCAAAAGATCATCTTTTAAACATCATTTTCGAGCTTGGGGTAATTGAATCAGCTATCACGGTATTCTGAGCAATAGAATCATTATAGTAGCCTACAATTTTTATTCGGGGAAGAAAAAGTGGGGGGGGATGTTCCCCACCGATTTACGCACATGATAATTATGTATACCCTGATAACTGTCTGTAAATGTTCCCTTTGGTCTGTTAAATTGGCATTTTGTGAGGCAGTCGCATTGCCGGAAGAACGTAGTGAAAAGGTTACCGTAGTACACAGGCGAAGGCTGATTGTAGAGTTTTGACACTAAATCATAATGTAATCAAACGTGAAGTTGTCATTTGCAATGAAAATGTTGAGTGTTACCATAAAATTACAAACGGTGTGAATGATGGAGGAAGGTCATAATTAAGTTTCAGTACACTCTAAAAACAACTTAGTCAAAATATTGACTGGTTTTCCTAGTTATTGAAAATTGACTAGGAATTTAGTTAAACATGCAAAGTTTCATACTATGACTAGAAAAAGTTGTTGGGTTCGACTCCAAATTCAGTTATTGGCATAACTTTTTTTCCCAAGTCAATAATACTGACTGGAAAAATCTAGTCAGATTGACTGATTTTCAGTTGCACCCAGCTGACCCTGAATGGCTAGTCAAATTTAACTGGTTTCTAGTCAAATCTGACTAATGCTTTTTCAGAGTGTATTGGACTCTTCAACAAACGTAAACTTGAACTTCTTACAATTTGCGAGACCGTCTGCGAGGAAAAAGTCGATTCAACTTTTATTCAAGTTGGTCAACCATCTATATAAGAGCAAGTTTTACTCGGCCTCCGAGAAATGTTCGCTCCTGAAAGGTTCCGAGACCGCGGTCTCCCGCGACGCCAAAATGGCTCCACGTCCATAGAAAAATACGGAGAATTTCTTCCGCCAAATCAAGCACTTCAGGTCGTCCTAATTTTTCCGTACGGACCGGCGATCGGTTTTGTCGATTTTTTTGTGACTGCGTTAAAGATCGCAATATTTGAAACAATGCATCGACCCTTCGTTGATCCCAAACAGGCCCCCGAAATTATAACGCGACACTGACTGTGACGTGGCGGGCCGGGCAGCGAACTCACAACGCTCAGCCTTAGTGGAAGCATAGAGCTCGTGGAAGCATGGAGCTGTAAACACATTATGGAAGCAACAGGGGTGCGTTTTGGCGGTCTTAACCAATAATTGGTTCGGTGGTTTCTTGTCGGTGAATTTCTTCAGCAATTTTAATTGCGTTAAAATTACGCATGATCATGTAGTACTCAAATCCCCAAAACAATTAACCAAAGAGAAACCACCGAACCAATTCTTGGTTATGACCACCAAAACGCACCCCTGCACTCTATCACGCGACGTCACATGCTTGTGCTGCAAATACCGAGCACCGTAGACTCAACCTCGTCTCAAGGGTGTAGAGCAGGCTGCAGTACGCGTTGCCAGTGACGGTTTTACGCATAGCCGGGAAGTACCACGCAGTGTAGGCTTTCGATTGGTCAGACCGCGCTAGGCATACTAATGTGTAGTCCTTCTGAGTATTCGTTGCACTCGGCGCAGGGGCGGCAAGCGAAGCACACGAAAGAATAGGGACACTTGGTGGCCACGCACCATGGACAAAATATATTTTACCAAGGTCACCCCATACTAACATTTGGTGAACACTTTTGCAGAACGGCCGAGTAGAACACGTAAACGCAACCCCTAATTCGAAGCCGCTGACCTCGCACAGTCTAGACACGCAGAAAAGCCAGCACAGGGGGCGGCCAGGCAGTCAACGTGAAAGCGCACACGACGGCAAATGCCTGCGCAAAACGCAGTCACGAAAAATCGACGAAACGGATCGCCGGTCCGTACGGGAAAATCAGGACGACCCGAAGTGTCCGACCCGGCGGAAGACACCCTCCGCATTTTTCCACGGACGTGGAGCGATTTTGGCGCCGCGGGAGCCCGCGGTCTCGGATCCTTTCATGAGCAAACATCGTCTCGGAGGCCGAGTTAAACTCTCTCTTATATATATAGATCTATGGTTGTACTACATGTATACCGTTAGCCTCAACGACCCTTGCGTGTGCTTTGTGTGCATGTACGTACACACCACATACACTTCCGCAAACAGCCGTACATTAAGTCGAGGCGGAGGACCTCGACTTACTGTACGGCTGTTTGCGGAAGTGTGTGTGTGGCGCACGTACATGCACACAACGTACACGCAAGGGTCGTTGAGGCTAACGGCATAGTACAACTAGTGTGTCGCGACGCGCGCAGTGTGTGCGGTAGCGGGAACAAGCTCCCATGGGAACAAGCTGATAGCCTTGGTCAAGGCTAGTATCCTGTTGAACTATATACGATACAATTTCAGTTGATACTTTTCTTCCGTGACTTGTTGTCAAGTTGCCAAACGTTTTGCTTCCATAAAATCCGATTGGTATCTTCTTCGAGCCTCAACAAATAGGCATCACATTATGGTTGATCTAAAAGGAACTGCACCAGATGCATAATCGCTTACAGAGGGGTTGTCAAAGCAATAATGAGAAAACAATTACTCTCCTTGCAAAGATGGCCTCAAAAAGAATGGATTGCTGAAGGAGAGTGCGTTTTCTTCTAGCCGGATAGAATTTGTTGTAGAATCATATATTTTTTCTCTTGGTCCGCCATCTTGAATGACCGAATTACATTTGTCAGAAAACCGGCATTTAGAGCAACTGCCGCACTTAACTTCTGCCGCTTTTTTGCCGAATGCAATTAATTGAATTCGACAGGGCAGAGTTCGACGTTTAGAGCGGGCCTATAAGGCCTGTTTCAGATGTCGTGCTTATGCCTGTCGAATAGAAATAAAATTGATTTTTTTTTATTCGACACGGCCCAAGCACGACGTTTAAAACCAATTATTGATTTCGGCTCGGCAAAAGACTTTAGCTCGACAGGGTCTGCCGTGCATATCAATTTAGTACGGCAGTGGCACGGCGCGGTTTCCAACATCGTGCTTCTGCCGTGTCGAATACAATTCAATTCCGACCAACTTCGAATTGAAATTGTATTCGACACGGCAGTAGCATGACGTTTGAAACCGCGCCGTGCTACTTCTACCGTGGACATCGTTTATAATCAGGAATGCGCATGCTCGCAACGAGTGTACGAGTATAAAAGAAATAATCAACTAACAAACGCATCAACAAAAAATGTTCAAGAATCATAGGGATGTGCCTTATTAAACCCATCCGCCGAGCTCGCGAATACAAGTTTAATATACCCTCAAAATACTCAATATTAGATAGTTCTGAGAGCCATGAAATTGGGGAATTGAAGAGATATGGCAATGAACCTCTGGCCCGGACTTCCAATTCTGAGCATTTTGGATGCAATTGCATTGTTGTGACTGTTTGTCCGCCATGTTGGATTTATTAAAATTCGACTGGGCGTTTGTAATTTAGTTCGACGTTTGAAACCATTGCCGCGCTAATGCCGTGCTACGTCGCGCTAAATTCAATTTTATTCGACGCGGCATAAGCACGACGTATGAAACAGGCCTAACTTTTTGTTTAAACAGGACCAGATGCAAATTCACGAAGAGCGTTTGGCATGGTTGGAAAGTGACTCGTCGAAACAAGACGCCGGGGGAAAGGACGTCCCAACTTGGAAGTATGCCCAGTTGCGAACGAGACGAGATCGGCAGCCTCAAGTGTCGTCTGGCCGCAGCGGCCAACGAAATGAAACGCACCTTCCGGGTTACGGTGGGTAAAACTCTTAATCATAAATCCATTACTTTTTAATCAAAACAATCCTCAAGATATACATCGGGAATAATTTGCTCGATTAGATAGACACAACTATTAAAAACAGAAAATTTCCCTTGGGGAAAAAAAGGAAAAATGACACAGGTGTTGTACCTATACGGCGCGGCGTCCATTATATCCAACACACTTTGCATTAACTACGTTTCCATGATGTCGCTTTGATCTTGGCCCGAAGTCTAAACCTCATCTCAAAATACAGAGTTGCTTATTCAGCAGGACCAAGAAATGCAGGTGCTGCTTTATGCCGGGACGGTCGTGATGGGAGAGACGGTAAGGATGGACAGGACGGGGCCCAGGGCCCAGCGGGACCGGCCGGCCCAACAGGAATCAAGGGCGAAAAGGTAAAAATAAAGTCTGCTTTTTGCTTGAAAAAAAAAAACCCTGCTGAAACACTGCATCAGCCCTTTTGAAATTATGAACACAACAGGAGGGCGCTATTTGGAGTGTATTCGTATAAATAGCACCTTCCTATTTTGCCCACAATACCTCAAAAAAGCCTAAATAATCCGGCAAAGTTTGGGAAAGAAAACGACTACAGTTCAAAATGCAACATTAGGTACAAGATATGTCATTTTGTTTGTAGGTTGGTTAGTTGGTTTTTATTACACGTATAAAGGATATGCGAACAGTTTAATACCTGCTCGTTGGAACCAAATATATTATTAAAATAAATCCATTGCGGAAAGATGTACCATAATGACGCACACCATATCTTATCCTCGTCAAAGTTTCCTGTCAAAGTGTTAAAGATTATCTAAACGACGCCCAAGTGTCCAGAGGGGTCCAGGGGGAGGGGTGTTTGTTGTGGATGACCATACCCTTTCCCTCCGACCGAACGATGTTGATTATCTACATTGTGGAAAAGATTTTTTTTTAATAGCTCCCCGAATAACTTCATCACTCAATATTGCAAATCTTGACTTATCATCTTAGGCAGTTGGTCTTTTGATGCGTTGATTGCAACTCCCCATTCACACCCCCTTATTTTTTGGAAGTTTTGGACTTCAACACCCCTTCCCAAGAAACCCCACTTTGGAAAATCCTCGGTTCGTCTATATCTTTTATTAATCAAAAACCGAATACCAACTCAAAATACTTCCGATTAGTGAAACAAATTGATTTAAGCTTTCCAGTGATGATGTTAACTAATTCTAATTCGACCTTAACAGGGAGATCCTGGCATTGATACGGATCGAGGCTCATCAGAAATGATGTTGCACAGACGGGCCAAGCGAGATCTAGGCGACGGCAATTCATCACATACAGCCGGTAATGAGCTACAAAGGTTTTACAAGATTAATAAATCAGACACATTTTATAGATTTTTTCACGAATGGCCGATAGATTGGAAACGCGCAGTCACTGTGTATGTTGTGCTGCATTGCGAGACTGTTTATGCTGCATCAATTTCCATCCGTAGTGCATGAAGTGTCCCGCATTGCAATGTACCGTAAATCTTCATTGCACACTTCCGATCTGTCCGCAAAAACAAGACCAGTATTAAAGCGGATTAATTCACAATGTATCCGTTCCGTTGTGAGCACTGGACACAAAACAGACTAAAAGCTTTCATCGAAAGGCACCTGGAGACCTCAAGTTTTTTGCTGGTCCCATCATCTGATCTGTTTCCTGTGGCATATTACGATACAATTATTAGATCCTTTTATCAATATTGCCCCTTACTGTGACAGAAAATCGGGAGTCGGGCGCGCATGACGTGTATCCCACCTTGAGGCCGTCTGGGGGAGAGACGTACGTCCGATGGGGGCGCACTACTTGCCCAAGTGATATAAACACGGAGCTCGTTTATGCAGGTATGTACAAAATGTAGGTTCTTTGTTCACAGGTGAAGGTAGAAGCGGTAGTGGATACTTATTACTTGAAGGTTTCTAGTAGTTATGCACATTTCTATCTTCATATGGATATACCTTGGGGCGCTGTGGTCCAACGTTACGGTGTTCGACTCACGCGCCGTGATACGTGGGTTCGAACCCTGACGGGGAACATGGTCACTGTGTTCCTGGGCAAGGCACTTTACTACTATTGCCTCTCTTCACCTAGGAGTAAATGTGTACTTGGGAAGGTAGGGCCCAAATTGCGCTGATCTCGAGCTGCTGCAGATGATGGTCTCATTCCTGATGAACAGGGATAACTTTGTCAAGCGCTTTGAAACCTTGGGCATAAAGCCTATATAAGCGCCACATTATGGTACCTTGCGAACCCATGTGACCCTCGCATTTAACTTGGAGAAGATGAGAATGCTTTGTACATGGCCAAAGTCTAGTAGTCTTGGCTTGAAACCGCATTCAGAGTGATTACTCTGACCCTTTGAGCTACCGGATATGGTCCCCTGTAGCGGAGCCCTCTACCGCTGGTTGCGTTAGGGCACGGATCTTAAGGTTACAGACCAGTAAATAGACTGCCATATATACCTCAGTGCTAATACGAGCACTTCCAAAAATTATTAAAAATACTTACGACTCTCCAAGTTGGTTAAGACACAAATCACATTAAAGATAATTTCATCATCTTTCATTTTCTGTTCAATTTTTGTTCCATTCTCTCATGACTTTTGGGAGAAAAATCCACCCAAAGATGATCACCTCTAATAGCAGTTCTGAAGCCCATTACCATTTTGCAAATGGACGCCTACGCTCCATTGCAAAATAGATACATTTTAGGTCCCCTAATTTCATCCAAATTTCACACAAATACGAGCTCGCAATCCTCTGCACGGCTTCCACCCTTCTTTCAAATCCTCAAGTACACGACCCTCAAAATGCCCCAATACCGGAGAATGTGAGGGCATGCAAAGCGTTATTTGGCCGGCGTGTACTCTTTTAGAGAAGGATGAACGACTCTGCCAAAATCTTGGTTAGATGAGTGATAAACGGCCCGTACAGGTGGGAATACCATGAATACAATAACCCAGACAGCTTAGCGCTTCACTGCACGCAGTGGCTATCAATTTTGCAGGGATCTGTGCTCGAGTTGATGTTGACTCATTTCAACCAAGCTAAATATAATTTGAATATTCCTGAGCCTATATTTTTTTACCTTTATTATTAAATTTTTATTAAATGATAACGTTTACGCCGAGTACCACATCTTTATTTATCGTGTACAATTCGGGCGATTCACAATGCAGTGCGCCACCAAGAGTATGCCATGGAGAGTCAACTTTTCAAGTTTACGGTCGACAGAATATGGCCCATTTGAATGAGTGTCAGTAGACACTTGAGTTAATTTGTTATAGATTGGAGCATAGCGTTCTGCCGCCTTACCAAAAATCACCATATTGATACAAAGAAAAGAAAAGAGCAAACATATACTCGAATCATACACTTACGAAACTACTGACCGGAAAAAAACGAACAATTTCAAATGTCCCGCGCTTCGAATTTGTCGACCATCTCCCGGCCAATGCACTGGGAAAAATGAACTCTCCGTGGCTAACTATTGGTGGCGCTCTGCATTGTGAATCGCCCGAATTGACCAAAACATTCGTATTCCAATGATGGTCATTATGGTTTGCTAACCGCCATGTTTGTTTACAAAGTGATTTCACGAACAATTTTTTGGTCAGGCGTTTTCACGGTGCACTGGAAATTGGAAACATGTTTCACGTCATGACTGTGACTTCAGAAACGTGTTCCAGGTCAAGTGCCGCCAAAAACGCCGCCTCGTTTTAGGGCCATGGCATCATTGCGCCCTCATGCGCTAAAAAAGGGACCGTTCTGGTTACGCCACTGAAAACGCGTACTTTGAATCTGTTGTTTCTTCTTTTTGTTTGTGCTTAGGTATTGCCGCAGGCGCGCATTATAGTCACAAGGGAGGTTCTGTTGATTTCTTCTGCCTTCCGTCTGAACCGGAGTGGTCGGCCTCTCACAACGACGGGCTCAACTCCAACTCCTTCCTGTACGGGATGGAGTACGAAGTTTCCGCTTTCGATCCCTTCTCCCACGAGAACGCGGAGTTCCTGCACAACCGTGACGTCCCGTGCGCCGTGTGCCGTCTCACGGACCGCGGGACCCAGCACCTCTTCCCGGCCAAGCTCGGCTGCCCGGAGAACTGGACAGAGGAATACAGAGGCTTCCTTATGTCCGGACACCACGGCCACGAGCAGCGATCCAAAGCCATGTGCGTGGACGAGGCGCCCGAGGCGATCCCCGGCAGTCAGACCAACCAGGACGGCGCGCTGCTCTACATCATTGAGGGGCGTTGTGGCTCCCTCCTGTGCCCCCCTTATGTCGAAGGGCGTGAAATAACATGCACAGTCTGTAGCATCTAGAAATCAATGCACGGTCTTTGTACCCAATCCCGTCTTGAAATCACTTTGGTACAAGAGGGCGTCAGTATACAAGTTACTACATTATATAACCTTTTTCATATAGATTTGGCGCTGGTTCCCATTTAACCACGAGTCTCTTAAATTAAAGGGACCTTGCGTAGATTTTTTTCTTAGAGCATAGTTTGTGCAACATTCTACTCCTTGTAAATGTATGAAAATTATTATTTTGATATCCTTCTTTGGTCAATTTTATTGAAATGTACACTTCTGTAAATATTTAAAATTGTCCATACTTTTCTGGACAACTGAGGGTGCTGTCGCTTGGTGACATTTCAGGAAGACACTGTTCAATTTTGGGGTTTCCTGTTCAAATTGTGAGCCAAAAATGTGCTTATTGAAAACATTCGTGAGAAAGGTTTGCGCATTGGCTTAATACTGCCATGTACTGACACAACAACAAATAACTAAAGAAAAGAAAATTTACGACAGCAAAATATCAAGCATTCTAGCAACCTTATGTGCTGAAATAGCTGTAAGATTTCTGCCCGAAATGATATCACAATTGCTCATGTATATGGAAATTCGCATTAGCATAAAAGCCAATAAGACACCAAAATACCCTTGGAAATGGGAAAACGAAAATTGATAATAAGGTTGAATGGGACACGAAGGTCATTTTAAGATTTGCATCAAAAATATACATTGCATGGGCCCTTTATGGCTAGCGCTTTTTTATTACAGTAGAGAAAAATGACGTCAGTAGGAGTGCAGTATAATAGTTAATGATATTTTGTTATGAGCGGTCCTTTATAGTTATTCTTATTGTAAATGATTTCTAGTAATGAAACCAAGGATTCCACTAAAGCACTCTAGGCACTGCAGCTCGCAAACATCAAGAAACGTAGGGAGAGAAATATGAGAAGAAATTACAGTATAAGGGGGAGGAAAACCCCAGATTCTAGGGGAAAACCCACGGAATAGGGACTGGCAACCCAATCCACATGTGGACCATGACAGGAATCGAACCCAGGCCACAGCGATGCATGGAAGCCGGGGAAACAACCGCTCTGCCATCCCGACCCCCCTACGTCAACCTGACTCCCAAGTGAGACATCCTGGGGTATTTCTGAGTCAAGCCAGCGGTGCGGTTCTTTCCGCAATGGAAACTAACTTTGACGATTTTATCTAGTGAATCTACACCTGAGTCGTGGTCGAGTCCCTTTAAGAGTCCCCAAATACACTGCAATGCGATGCTGCATGGCAGGAATGTGAAGCCCATTTACAGGCGCGCGGATCCGGGGGGGGTGTTTGGGGGTCAAACCCCCCCCCCCCAACTCTGTCAAAAAAATTGTTTTTCCATAGAAGTTCATAAAAAAATAATGCTACCCCCCCCCCCCCCCCACACACACACACACCCACCCACCCAGACACACACACCCCCGCTCTGACACCCAAAAACAATTATATTGGTATTAATACGCCTGCATGTGCACAAAATACGGACAGAGCCTGCTGTGTTATGGGGGTATTTGTACACTTTCCTGTAATAAGGGAGCCAAGTGTTCGGACAAAAAAAACCCTTTCTACATTTCAGCATTGATTTTCATACTGATGAGACCCCCCCCCCTGCAAAAATTCCTGGAACTGCCCCTGATATAAGCAGCAATACTAAGCTGAGTGAGTACCTGGAATTTTGAGTGTTAATAGAAACACACCCCTAAAAGTACAACTGGTTGCAAAAAGATTTGTGGACTTGAGTTCAAGTCACTTTGCGAATTCTCTGTCAGTTTTTACCCATAGCCAAAACCACAAAGACTTAAATTCAGCTTTTGTTTCCACTTGTTTCCACTTTTTTGTTTCCTCTTCAGACTCGGTAAAGGACTCGACTACGAAACTCAACTATACTATCACCGAGCAGAGGTGACTGCATTTCAATGGATATAATTCTGAAAACATGAATTGAAATCAAAGAAGACTATTGAATTAAATATTCAGATGCATGGATTTTTATTAAAGACATATTATTGTTCGCTTGTTATAAAAGATACATGCTTATATAAAAGACAAATGATATATAAAAGACAAATATCTTAACGTAGTGGTGGACACAGACGGTATTAAGATTAATGATGATTAACGAAGGGTGTGGTGCTGTTTTACGGCAGAATGTTGATACTGATAGTAAAGAGTGATGCTACAATATGCTGAGCTTCTGGTTGGGCTTGTGATTTGCGTTCAATTGTGTGGCAGTTCGTCTTCAGTATAAGACACGTACCGCTTGTATCCAAATGGGCAAATTAATGTAGTGCATAAAATATGTCTTTGTTAACCCAGAAGGTTTATAACAACGCAAGTTAAATTATGCCAGTACAACAATGCAACATGTTATCGGATGCACATTTAATAAACTCACAACTTGCCATCTGACTGCAATCATTGGCTATAGAAAACCATAATGTTTGTACTCCGATTAAAACGAGATTTTTTAAACTTCGGTTCGTTTCGAGCTTGGTCTCCAGGAGAATTGAACGCCCCGCACGTCTTCGAGACTCCGGATTAATTAACATATCTCCATGTTCTGTTTTGGAAGCATTACCTATATGAGGCCACCCTCAAAGAGAAACCCCATTTGGTTTTGGCATTGAAGGCTTTGAAACTGTTACGGAGTCAGCAATTAGGCTGATGCCGTGAGGAACCGAAGCTTGGTGATAAACAACGAGTCCACCATAATTATTGTCAAACACGTCGGCGTATTTAAGGAAAGTGACGTCACATTAAACGTTAACAATAGATAGGCCTACTTCATCCGGAGCGTCGAAGTAAACCGACTTATAATCATTTAGCATTAAAACCGATCTGTGAAACTACCAATTACAAAGTTACCCAAACGATGAGAAAGTACAAAACTACTGGTCGTCAGATATTACTTACAACTGTGGTATAAATCAACCACACATTATATTCATTCTTGAATGGATGTCAACTGACTTTTATTTGTATAGTCCGATTGCAGCAGATTTCTACAACATCGTCCCATGAATTTTATGCCAGCCCAGGAACATACCTTTTATAAAAATATAAATTTTAAACATTTTTTGCAGCATGGTCCCAGAGAAAGTCATGGTCCTCTTTGAACCTCGCTGACTCATAGACTCGCTACAGGGCAGTGCTCTCGTATATTATAGGATTACCCGTAACGCCAATGCGTGGCCTTTGTCTGGCCCATAGACCTTACTCACGACGGAGCCATTTTCGATTGTGTTCCCAGAATTTTATTTACACACACACACGTTTGTGTTGTGCGACTTCAAGTCGCGCAAATTTTAACAATCGGGTAAACATAATTATTGCGTATTATTTTGTTTGTTACGCGCGTCTACGTGTACGCGTACGACATTGCCACGAGACATAGTCGTTGCGACAAACTCACGTCTGTGCAAATAGGCCTTGTAACTGTTGAATGGGATGGTACTAGTCACTATTCATGTGCCTTCCACGCCACTTTCAATTTGTTTTTGAACGTGACTTAAAACTTTAGTGTATATTTAATAACAAATTTTGAATTATTCATTAGAGCAGAACTGGTATTAAATTGTAATTAACTTTATTTCATTACTTTCATTTCAGTTCGCAAGTTCCAAAAATTGAAGATTTAACCTCACTTTAAATGTAATATGGCCGACAAGTGAATAAAGCGTATTGTGTATACAGAGATGCAAGAATAGGCTTCCAGTTAATAGCCATTCTCAACCTATGGAATATAATTTTGAGCGCTCTGGACCAGCTTTACTAGGCCTGACTTTTCCCCTTAAAGAGAGATTTTCATTTTGATATTTTTTGTCGCTAATTGATAAAATCTCAAACAATTCAACCGTGCAGATTTGTCTAAAATATTCCCATGTTCCCTAAACGAGTGTACCGGTTGTCCTTTTCTTTTCTTAAGGGCCTATCATTACATTCAATCAATAACGGTTGCATGACGTAAGTTACATCACCATGGTCAAAACAAATATCCTCCACGAGATGGATACTGAAGTGGTTTCTATTTTAATGTCTTATTTCTGGACTGCCTAACTACTGAGACAGAGCAATTACCTGGGCTTAAGACCCCAGAAGTAAAAGTCTCTTAAGCTTTGACAAACATGCTTAGCGCATATACAAATCTAGACTGTAATCTTCAGTTACCACACAAATAAGCATGCACTGTTTGCCGCAGACGTTGTCAAGTTATTTTCTACCTATAGATAAATAGTGCAGTTAACAAATTAATAGAAATTTGAAACGGACTTAAAATCACATGGATGTGCTCCTTCATTTTCTAATGGCAGACGCTTTCACTTCTCTTTGCCCAACACATTGCACATAATGCGTACATTAATGTTGCTGGTATGAAACTCAATCCCGGGGATTGGTTTGAAATTACAACCTCTTTAACATGTTTGTCATTATGTTAAATTAGATTTTAGGGGGAAAAGACCCGTTCCGCATTGAGGAAATGTGGAAAATGCATTTTCACAATTTGTTTTTCTGAATATCTATTAAAAACAATCGCTGATGCCAAAATTGACGATCAATAGCAATGTATTCTGGAGATCCAAATGGGTGGTTGCATGCAGTCGATACGGCAGCTATATCAACAATTCTAGATGATATGATATTGTTTGTTGGTTATTTCGTAGCAAAGCCTGCATTATTAAAAGGAAAATCAAAACTAGTAACAATACTTCATTAACATTATTGAAAGAGTGGGCATATTCCTTGAACGATTCACAAGCTTTGGTAGCAAACAGGGTGTAGCAATCAAAATACCAAAAACTTAAGGTCTATAAATGACGTCATCATAAGACAATCAGATTCAAATTATGACCCCTGCAATGAGTGTGGACTTTTTTGAGATGTTTACATTTAAAATGAGTTAAAGCACTTCTTAGAATGCACTGGTGGTTCCGGAACAACAATTTATGGGGGTGGTGGCAAGTGGCTGATGGCGACAGGGGACGTTATTTCCCCCTTTTCCCTGTCTTTCTATTTATATTTCAAGAATTCGTATAGAGGCACGAGGAATGAGTAGCATCGATTCAAACACAGTCGTTTCACTCTTTTCTGGTTTAAATATTAACAGAAAGGACTGATGCTGGCTGGCACTGTAGTTCCGGCTTTGTAAGGCCCCATCCCATCCCTCCCACCCCCCCCCCCCCCCCCCCGCCAGTGTATTGTGATGTGTGGACGCCGGTTTCCAAACAGGTGAACCACGTGGACCACTGCCAGCCAATCAAAGTTGACGCTTATAGCAGGGGTTAATTAGTATTCAGTGCGAATCATCATAACGCAAGAATGACTGCACGAGTCGATACTTAACATCCGAAGAAGGTAATTCATATCATAGAGTATGGGAAGTTGGCCATGCGTTAACCCTGTGCGCTGAATCGGTGAGAACCATAGAACTGATGTTATCTAGCTCTTTACTTAGGCCTATTGTATTTCCACAATGCTATAATTTAAATACATCATATTGACACATTCCCGCGACAGTACGAACATCTCTATCAATTACTTTCCCTTTTCATAGTTTCATACTTTCCCAGTTTCTTGTGAGGTATCTGGGGCTGGACACACCACCCACGAACAATGGGTGACCAAGCACAGCCAGTTAACGCCTCACGAATTTTTCGCACCGTGGAGAACATCAGCGCGCACGGTCTTCCCAACATCGGAAGGGCAGCCACTCACAAGCGCCGGCTGGTCTGGGCCTGTCTGTTCCTGGCCGGCTTCGGGTTTTTTCTCAGTCAGAGCAGCCAACTGATTGTCCGGTTCCTCAAGTACAACGTCAACGTGAACGTCGAGCTAGGGTTTGAGACGGAAGCCACGTTCCCCGCCGTGACGTTCTGCAACCTGAACAGGATTCCTCTGTTAGCCGTGTTAAGCGACGGCAAATTCTTGCAGCTTCAGGGCTTGATAGACGGATTCCTGGAACACCAGGTACAGTGTACATTGTAACCAGTGACGTACTTAATAAGGGGCTTGATGCCATCCCTTCTCCTCGGAGTAACAAAAAAAAGATTATCCCAAAAAGTAAGCTTTGTTGGCTGGCCGTCTGTCAGATTGTGCAGACATTCCCCTCACGGCCTCCCCATCAGCAAAATCCTACCTTCGCCACTGACTATTATGGGGGTTTCTGGATGTTTAGGGCTCAAGGTTGGATCCAAAGGGGGTCGTTAAACCACTCCACCCCATCTCCCCTTCTGACCAATGTTAATTATTTACTTAATTAATGGACAAAAATCCCAAATTTCATTGAGTTCCCAAATAGCTAAATAGCGTCACCGCCGCACACGAGAGCTACGTGCAAAAAGTCATTCGAGGCCCTTTGCTCAGCACGTACGTAGCTCACAAAATATCCCCGTGTGCGTAGAGTTTTTTGCCTCGCGAGTCCGTGAGACAAATATGTAGCGTGTTTGAATTCTTTCGTCTTGTGAGGCGAAAAACTCATCGTGTGCGGCCAAGCTCAGATATTTGCCTCACGGCCTCACGAGGCAGAAAACTCAGCAAAAAGCACCGCGCTCGGGGATATTTGTGAGCTGCGTCCGTGCCTAGCAAACGGCCTGGAATGACTTGTTTGCTCAGCACGTAGCTCTCGTGTGGGGCGGGCTTTATTAAATATTGCAAATCTTGTTCGTTTTGACTGCAACGCCTCAAACCTTTAAAAATCTTGAATATCAAAACCCCAGTCTCCCCTTTGGAAAGTCCTGGATCCCCACTAGGGTCATTAGCTACGAGCAAGTTGGGGCGAGGGCAATATTAGTCGACCACTTGTTGATTGTGCGCACGTTGGCAAACGCCTCTAGTCGAACTCTGGTCAAAACGTCATAACAAAACGTCTTGGTCCTGGGTCCCTGTGTGCTTTATGATGTGCGCGGCTATTGGTATTATCAGCGATAGAACCGTGCCCTGCGGTCCAAAAGTCGAACTGTCGTTAACTAAAATTGGCGCCCGAACTTGCTCTACGAGAGGATAATGCCGAAGGGAAAACCAGTATAAAATAGCATTTGCGTGCCACAAAGTTTCTTGAAATTGTGTTATTTTGTATGAAATTGTAAAAACAAAAAAGATGAAACGACCATTTGGGCTAAACCAGTCCCTTTCGAAAAATGATATTCGAAAATATTTCGTCAAAATTATAGTTTGCGTTTTTGACAATGTGCCGTAGAAGTATGACTACGCGCAGTGTCGTCTCCAATTGACCGTTCCACACAATGTCTCCTCCGTCATTTTCACCGTGCGTTTAGCACGGGCGATTTAGGTGAACATTTGATATAGGTGATATTTCTCAGACATTAAGAAAAAATATGACTGTAAAATGAGACAATTTATTAATTATTCATGAAAATATTACAAACATAGGGCTATTTTTGCTTCATATTTTCCATATAGGAATATCAATCGTGGGACTATGACTTAACGTATGATGAGATAGACACAAGCTTCGCTATTACAGCCTTGTCAATCGACATCTTGTCGAGCCTTCCCTATGCAAACCGTTCCTCTACTGGGCATCCTCTATCGGATATGATGCTGTCCTGCACGTTCAGGGGATACCCATGCTCGCCAAAGTGAGTTGCTCGACTTTCTGTTTATCCTGGTCCTAGGCCCATAGGGCCAGCCTGATGTCCTCAAGTTATTACCTCACCGGCCGACCGACTGACTGACCGACTGTCACCTGTGTTCAGTGGCGTAGCCACCGGGGGGGGGGCGTGGGGGGCGACCGCCCCCCCCCCATGAAACCTTGTCGCCCCCCCCCCCCCCCCCCAGGCGTCCCCCCCCCCTGAGATTTTGAGTTTCTAAAAAATTATCATTGATCTACATGACGCCATGGGCGTCAATCCTGGGGGGACAGGGGGACTCCCCCACTTTTTGAAGGGTGGGGGACACAATATCAAATGTCCCCCCCCCCCCCCAGATTTTTGAACTCGTGTCTCATTTACAGGGCCCTATTATGTACTACAATGTATCTTTTGCTTAGAAAGATTAAGCGGGCCCGGATCCCACGCCAACAGCTCAGAATTCTGGTAGCTGATTAAATGACTCCAACTTCGAAAACAATGTCAAAAAAATTTTTTTATGCCTTTAGCTGAGAAAACCTCGAAAATTTTGTTTAAATTATTATCTTTTGTGCTAAGATAATTATTGGTTAAAGTGGTAAGAAATTGCCTCAGATCACACCACAGAGCATCGAGAATCCAATTTTTTTCGGGCCCTTAAGCGGGCCCCGAACCCCACGCCTATAGCTAAGAATACCGATAGCTGATTCAATGACTCCAACCTCGAAAACGATGTTCAAATAATTATCTTTTGCTAAGAAAATATTAGTTAAAGCATGGAGGAAAGTGGTAAGAAATTGCTTCAGATCACACCACAGAACATCTAGAATCCATTTTTTTTCGGGGCCCTTAAGCGGGCCCCGAACCCCCACGCCGTAAGGGCTTCGCGCTTCGCGCTCCCCCCCCCCACACTTTTGAGAAGCGATTGACGCCCCTACATGACGCCCCCCATGAAATGTTCCAGCCCCCCCCCAGCGGCCCCCCCCCCCCCACTGAAAAATTCCTGGCTACGCCACTGCCTGTGTTAGAACTGATAATTGTAATAACCAGCGTATGACGTATAGCCAACCGATAGTGTAGCAACAATTGGCCGACACTGTATCACTAACCGATGTAACAAAAATTTACCGATAATGTAGTAGAATGTACGTATACACTATCATTCCATTTTTGTTACATTATCAGTCCTAACCGATGATGTAACAAAAATTTACTGGAAGTTTAGTAACATAGTACTTCACTATCAGTCAATTTTTGTTACATTATTGATTAGTGATACAGTATCGGTCAATTGTTGTTACATTATTGGTTGGTGATACGTTATCCGTCAGTGGTTATTGCATTATCAGTTGTAACAACCTGTTATTATTTTAGACCACTGTTTCTCATTGAAAAGCATGATTTTCTGTATTACAAGATAATGCAAACAAAACCACCTTTTCAGATGCATCTCTTAGTTCTGATATGTAATATAACCCCTTCAAAAATAATGTATATTCATGCTTGGACATTCTCTTTTATAATCATGATATAGGAATTTCACCCATTTCTACAACTACCTGTACGGCAATTGTTACACGTTTAACTTTTATGGCAGACGCGCTCAAAAGGTAACACAGGCCGGGCCATTTGGTGGTAAGTGAAGACATCTTGACAATATAGATTTCAGACACTTTAGGACCATTTCCTCTCTGTGTATTTTCATCATTTGAAGCAACAAAATTGCTAACGTTTCAGCTCAGTGGCTACTTTACATTTTGAGAGAACATGCGATACATTTTTTTAGTCTGGTAACTGGAGAACAGCCCAATTGGGCTACAAAACGTGCTTCGGACGAAATGATGTTATTCTGAAAGAACATTTAAAAGTAAGATATAAACATCCACACAACTATCCTTTTTAAAACTGGGCGTTTTTGTGTTATCCTGTATTATGTGTGCGTGAACGAATTTCGGGGTCCACCTTTGCGACCATATGTTTGAAATAGGATAAGTAAACGATCCAAAACATGAAACTTTCGAGGATTTCAGGACCTAGTGCCCCTATTCAGTATGATGTGCTTTTCATCTTGACTTTTTTAACCTTACTCATACTCAGGACTTACTATGGAGCTTTACATTGATCAGCCACAATACGTACCCGGTCTACAGAACTCAGCTGGAGTCAAGGTCTTCATCTCAGAACAAAACCAGGTCCCGTTTCCTGAGGACAAAGGGGTTATTGTCGGTCCTGGTTACGAAACCTCAATTGCATTGAAGAAGGTGAGTCCGTCTCGTACCCAGGCCATTTTGATCTTGTCATCTCGAAAAGCTGCCACCTGTAATGCATGTGCCATTGAAAACTCAAGGAAAGGCTTGAAAAATAACGTCGGTAAAGGGTTATATTTTGTCCTTGGCCATCGCCAATCATTTTAAGACAAAGAGTTATCAATCAGTTTTGTTTTCTCAGTTGCGATTGATTCAGCTGATTGGATCTCTGCAAAAATAGATGACTCTTTCTCTCACAACATGTCTATTACTGTTGAAAAGGCTGGTCCATACTTAAGATTGGATTAAGCTTATAATGCTTCCCTAAATCAACCAATCTATGCCAAGGTGGCTTGTTTGTCTCCGTTTTATAGCTCCATGCTTGGGTGCACTTGTTGACGGTCGACCGGCCGGGTTATAGAGTAAAATCAAAAGCAAGTCTGAGGCCATACCAGGCCAAAATGGGAACACTGCTGTGGCGTATAAATATGTGTCGGCAAGTGGGATGACCAAAAAAACCTAAAAGTACCCGGCCGTGGAATTCCGAAAGTGTGTGTGAGTATGTAAACACCGGCAATCGTGGACTAGGGACAAAGGGGTTAGGGCACAAACAGAGGGTCCACGATTGACCGATAGTCCACGATTGAAATTCGTGAACAAAACCAACGAGAGCTGTTGCTAAAAAATACAGAGGAATTAGGAGTAGGGACAATAGGGGGTCCACGAATGCCGGTGTTACAAAGATGTGTCTGTGTGTTTGGGGGGGGGGGGAGTTGGACACCACATGACACCATGGGGCGCTGTTCATGATTCAAATGCGCTTCTTATGGTAGCAGACCAGTAAATAAACTTCCATAGACCCCAATGGTAAATGCTCCCACTTCAAAAATTCGGGAAAAATACTCACAACTCTCCAAGGTGTTCGAGACACACATCAAATTAATGCTTATTTCATCATCTTTCATTTTCTTTTCAATTTTCGGGGGGTCAACTGATGACTTTTAGGAGAAATTTCCATCTGAAGATGATCACCCCTGAAAATAGTCCTGAAGCCCATCGCCATTTTGAAAAACGATGCCTACACTCCATTGCAAAATAGAGCGCTTTTAGGGTCCAAATTACATCCAAATTACACAGAACTGCAAGCTCCTAGTCCTGTGCACGGCTTCCACCCATATTTTTTACAATCCCTCAAGTTCATGGCCCACAGCATGCTCAAATACCGAAGATTTTGAGGGCATGCAAATCGTGATTTGGCCGGCGCAGGCAATTTCGGACCGATTTACTGGTCTGCACCCTTATGCAAACTTGCACGCTTACGTCCCTTAACCCTACACATCAAAATGGCGCATTTAAAGCTTTAGTACTTTTTGTTCTCCAGGTTGTATTTTATTTCTTCAGAACTCCTCAGTACAATTTGGGCTATTAGAAGTTTGAAGATAACCTCAAAATCGGCAATTTTTGTTTTTCACCACAAAAGTCTGGGGGATGGTCCAATGGCCCACCCCCCTGGTCAAAAGGTGGGGGATTCCCCCCCCCCGGATTTACGCCTATCGAACAATGGATGTTTAAACTTGCATAGTGGAACTTAATTTGCTCTGATGATCTGCAGCAAGCAGTTGAAATCGAAACACGCATGTGTAGTTTTCTCGGAAAACCTCTTTGCATTTATTTTGAAGTTAATAGTCGCGTGGAATACGACGATTCATTCCATTAGTGTTAATGTCTGTAATGTTTGTACCTTCTTAACTGTAATATTAAACACTCTTTAATTGCTGGGCTCGGCTGATCCATTACTAGCAAGGCAAGCGAGTAAATTACACTAATGGTCTAATGACACCAATGTCTAATGGGTCTAATTAAACATGCCCAGAAGCTTATTGATCGGCCTGAACGAACGATGCAAGTTTGTTGATTCGCCAAGATGATACGGGACTTCTGTACTATTGATTTTATATATGACGACTGCATCCTGCTTATGATTTTAGTAGCAAAAAAAAGTATAATTAATGACACGTCTTGTAGACTAGTGCCGTGAATGGACTCAAAACACTGTACTTTTTTGCACGAGTTAATATGAAGGTTCCGCTCAATGTTTTTTTTTCTTCAATTGGGCGCATAATAAAGCACAGTGCCGCACCAGTATTTTCCATACAAGGGGCAATATAGTTTCTCTGCCGTTTCCAAATTCTGAGCCGGGGAACACAAAGGGCCAAAGGCCTCCAGCGAGAGTCCCATGGCGTGCCCACCCCCTAAGTTATGCCATTGGGGGTAACAGTCCATTCCTGATCATTAATGTCTCCTCTAGTGTTTGATAATGAGTGAATGAAGTTTTCGGTAGGCCTATCCTGATTTCAGTCAGCAAGACATGCTGTAGGCACCACCGACAGACAGACACAGGCATCGTCTTTTAATTTCCTCTATTATACCTATTCTTTTTATGGTCCTTGCGACAGGCCCCAGTAGTAGTCAATGGAATAGCCGCTTGCGCATAAGCGTCTATGATATGGAACTTTTTACTAAATTCTTAATTATGCACGCATGCGCGTAAATGGGCCTGGCGTCAAAAAGCAAAAGCGGTCCAATGAAAATGTACAGGGCTACAAACATTTGGGTCATTCTCCGGGCTGTGACATGCACCCGACTGTCATGACTGACTTACTGACTGACTGACCGTCCGACTTGTGATTTAAACTCCCCTAGGCCGTATTTTTTTCTTTCACTTTGCTGGGCCCAGTTAGCCGGCATAGTCCTCTTCGCACCTGTTTCATTGACTTACTGACTGATTGACTGACTGACTCCCCGACATGTCACTTGTGCATTCAACTTGCATAAGCCTCACCAAGGGCGGATCCAGAACACAATTTTTTTGGGGGGGCCCAAACAAATTTTGGTCACCCCAAAAAGTGGGTCAAAAAAATTACGGCGTGGGGTTCGGGGCCCACTTAAGGGCCCCGAAAATTTTTGAATTCTAGATGCTCTGTGGTGCGATCTGAGGCAATTTCTGACCACTTTAACCAATGTTTTTTTGAGGAAAAGATGGTGTACTCATTGCCTGCCTTTATTGCGATGTCACATAAAAAGATTTTTAAAAAATTGGTATCGTTTTGGGGGGGCCATGGCCCCCTTTGCCCCCCCCCCCCCCGCCCTGGATCCGCCCTTGAGCCTCACCTTGCCCAAAGCAAAATGGCCCAGATGACTGGCATCAGCTTAACTGGGTTTGCTTCTGGTTTGTTTTCTCGTGAGAAGTCGCGGTTTTTGTGTAAGTAAAATGCACGCGTTTACACATTTTAGCCGTTTACTCCTTTATCGCCAGGACTAACTGTATGAAATCACTCACACAGAGAGATAACAAGTTGAGAGGTTCTTGCCCCTTTTAGGTTCGTATTGATCGAATCGGTGAGCCTTACACAAACTGCTCCAAGGGTGCGAGTACCATCTACAGTGACTTTTATGAGAATGTCGAATACAGCCTGTTGGTAAGTGTCCTCTGGTTCGAAGGTAGCTATTCATTGTCCAATTATGGAATTCTATGGAATTATTCATTACATTCGAATTTCATTTCATGCGTTTTTCATTTCCATATTGCGTATAGCACATAAACAAAAGGTTCGCACCCAACTAAAATAACAATTATTCATAAAAAAGAGAGAATTAGTTGGAGTAAATGCTCGTCGATCGAGGAAAGGACCCCAGAATATGTCCATCGAAATTTCTTTTAGTCGCTCGATTAATATCTCATATTTTACATTTACGTAAAAAAATTCAAAATATGGGGTTTCCCATTCTCATTTTTTATTTTAAGGAATTTGGTATACGATTGAAAAGATGGATAGAATTTATATTATACAATGTGTTTAAAAATAGACGAATCTTCTTTAGTTGTGTGTATAATGTGCATTTGATCATAAGTAAATTACGCCCCATGTGTGTTCAGTTCGAAAGTTTTGCGAACAATCATGTGTAGTACCCAGGTGAAAAACAACGGTGATTAATTCACTCCCATGCACCTGCGGACTACGTTCATGGACTTTTGAAAATGTGTCACACGAACTCTTGTCCAACAATTACATGTCACAATCTTAAAATATGGGTGGTATAACAAAAACTTTGTTCGATTATATTCTAAAAATTAAACACCAGGCATGCGAAAAGAGCTGTGTGGTCCGAGAGATTTTGAAGGCCTGCCAATGCGCCGACGTGAGATACCGGTTCACCGATGAACACAAACCGTGCTATTCGTCTAACATGACACTGAGTAAGGATATTGTCGAACATTTCTAGAAGTAACATTGACTAGATGGGTAGATGAGTGGCCGGGAGTAGTGGAGAATGAAGGGGAGTTTGTGTCTGTATTGGGGGGATGGAAAGAGGTCTTATTCTCTCACTCACATCAGCACCAAGAATCGATATGAATATGTTATGTTCATGATGGTCAGAATTGAGAGGTGGTTGATCGAGGCTCAATGAGGGTGATGGAATATTGGGGATCAGCATGATGACAAGGAGATTGATTAAGCGTCAAATAATGAGGATGTTATTGATTGTTGGCTGGTTGGGATTATATGCGATATTTGATTGATGGGAAGAGAGGTAAATGAGGATTAGGGGATTACGGGGGTTTTTATTGATGGTGATTCAGATGTTCTGCATTTAGTGTGACTATCAAACGATGATGGGGTATAATAGTGGATATCTTTAAGGCAAGGAGATTGATTAAGCGTCGAATGGTATTAAGGATGATTATGGACTATTGACTGATTGGGATTATTATGTGAAATGGGATTGCTGGGGATAATCAGTATTATGAGCATCAGAGATTACGGATATTTTCATTTTCAAGGGCGGATCCAGAGAGCTTATAGTGACGGTGGCTGAGGCTGTGCCGGGGTGGAGGGCTAAGGGTTCTTTCAAGTGAAAATTGCCATATTTTAACAAAATTCGGTCACTGCCGGGGGAGGACGCCCCCTCCGCACCTCTTGATCCGACACTGGCTTCTGGTAAGACTAACTGGGATTATCGGAACGTACATATAAGGATATTAAGGTGACAATGACTGTTGCGACAACGACGATGTCGAACGGAAGATAATTACGGCAACCGACGATGTAGCTTACAATCGTTGTGGCTATTAGTATAATAATCATTTGTTGGCATTTGCAGCGGACTGTGCGAATCGGATACACGAAGCCTATGCCTACAACAATCTAGACTGCCACTGCCAGTTACCATGCAGGTACTAAGGCCAAAAAAAAAAGTCTCCGGTTTCTGGTATGGAGCTTGCCCAAAAAGTGGTGCGGCGACGCGGCTTTTTTTTTTTTTTACCTGTTTTTTTTGCTTCAAATGTCGGCTGATGACTGCAAATGGTGCCCGACTAAACTTAGTGCAAATATTATGGGAGACCAGGGAGGCCACATAAAGGTTATTCTCGATCATAACCCCATCTAAAAACACGTTAAAATTGTGCAGCAGCAGGATTCCAGTCAAACCAGTGAGTTTGGCGGTTTTCAGACATCATCTTTCATTGAAAAAAAACTTTTTCATTTTGCCGACGCGCATGGCTACGGCGACGCGCGCACATACCAGAAACCGGAGACTTTTTTTTTGGCCTAAAGCCCATATCATAGCAGATACAATTATGTTACATTTTATTTAAATTAAACGTAAACCATTTTGTATTATGTCGTATATTAATGGCCGCAAGTCCGTTGCACACTTTGACGCGAATGAGAAAGCGCAGCAAATTTGAACGCCAGGCCTGTAACATTCGTTGCCGAATTCGCCGCAGTTGAAATATTTTCACATTTTGCGGCTTCGAATTGCAAAAACTGGCCGTGATGTCACAAATTCGCGATCGATTTTAGCGTTCGCACTCGCTTTCATCCCGAGTCTGAACCGGCGGTTGTCCATTATTCGTTCGTCTTTGTCAGCGCCGTATCCAGCAGGGGGCAACTTTGTCTCCCTCCCCCAACACTATTCCCCAGCACGGTATGAGACGAAGGGGTACCACCCCCAATATCCCTTTACCCTATATGCAAACCCTAGACTATTGTTACCTGACACATCCCTTTAGATATCTCAAAAGAATTTCAGAGATTCTGGTAACACAATGACCAACACAAAAGATTAGCTCCCTCCGTCTCATATCGTGCTACATAATGTCCAACCCAAGTTTTCCCCACACCGGCGGCATTTAGATGGCGTCACCAAACAAACAGGTATTTTTAAATGGTAAAACGGTTCAGACGTCAATATAGTAAAGTCTTACATTTCCTCTCCCCCCCCCTCCCCCGGGCATCCAAAGCTGAAATACTCTGCTCGTCTTCGTCCTTTGACCAATCAGTTGGCATTTAGGCATACTATTGTGTCTTAATCCGGTTCGTTAGTACAAACGTCATTCACGCACGCCCACAAATATTATTGATTACTAGCGCCCGTTGGCTACAAACGCGCGAGCTGCGTTAACTTCCGGTTTCAATCGTGCAGAATGGGCTGGAGGTGACGTCACACTAACGAACCGGTGTCATATGAAAATCGGACTCGTATGAAAATCGGACTCTTTTTCCCTTTTATTTGTTTTACCCTCTCAAATGACCGGTCCCTCTCCTAATTGTCTATGCATGAGCATGCGCAATACCACCAATGAGTCCGTATTTCATAAAACCGTACTTTATGCTACACCGGATTTATCCGATTAAGGCTGTGTCCGAATTACTTGGCTTCGGCTTGCAATTGCACACGAGTCTATGCAAAGTGGCTGCAGTCGCTACCATAGACTCGTGTGTTGTTTTAAGCCGTATCGGACACGGCTTTTTAAGTAGGCCGAACAATGTGAGAAAAAAAAACATGGCGCACGCGAGTGAAACGAATCCAGGCTGTTAACACCGCAGATTGTCGTGCCAGAGACACGCTGAACCAAAACATTCCAGACATTTAAATTAGCTACCATAAAAGTTCGACATTCGAGACAGTCTTGGATCGACTCGATAAAATAAAAATAATACAGAAAGTTCGCCTCTCCACAAACTTGTCTAATGTTGTTGGGCTGGTTTGGGATGCTCCAATAATGGCTCAGCGCGACTCTGAAACGCCAGTCATCTAAAACGGGTGTGACACGTAAAAATTAGGGCATTTAACGTCTATATGTAACGTCTTGCAACGATTGATATTATACCTTCGTCTTTAAAGGTTGGAAGTTGTTAAAATGAGGTTGAATGTTTGGGTTTTTTATAGGGAGGATGTGTTTGAAGAAACAGTATCGACTGCGCTATGGCCGAATGACAACTACCAGGTACAACGTCACGCATAATGAATTATTAATAATTGAGAATTTTATTTCAAAAACCTAACTACATGCATATCAATCGAAAGTGTGGAATGTGAAGATAATTGGGGCTGGACTCTGTGAAACTATTTATGGTACTTGGGTAACGGTAACAAGTCGACAAAACTTTGGGTAAAGATCAAGAAAGTTGGTGACGGCTTTCGCCCATAAGGGCGCCCTCTACCGGAAATTTGTAAATAAGTGCAGGTAATTCGAAGAAGAAAAAAAGAATTTGAGTAATGATTCAAATACTTTAAGTAGCTGATCCTAAGAGCTCGAAGACACAGACCAGCTTCCCTCATATTGAAAACAGACAGCGAACTAGTGTTAGAAATGTTAACACCACACGTTTGTCCATCACAAACGTAACTCTACTTCTTACTCGTACTAAACGGGTTACTGAGCCTGTTTTCGCAAATGCAGCATTAAACTTACCTCGACCCGCATTTAGGATGGGGATGTCTCTATAGTCCGAAGTACCATTGGTCCGACGTCCCATTGGTCCGAAGTCCCATATTGGTCCGAAGTCCCATATTGGTCCAACGCCTCATAGGAATAGGTTTAGGATTATTATGTTTTGTCAGACCAATGGGACTCGAACCAACGGGACGTCGGACCAATGGGACGTCGGACCAATGGGACTTCGGACCAATGGGACGTCGGACCAATGGTACTTCGGACTATAGAGACAATTTATGCGCATGCGTGCATAATTATACATTTATTACTAAAAGGATCCATTGAGTGGCGTTCCTGTGGGTAGACGTGTATAAGCATAAACTAAAAGTTATTTCATGAACTCTTATTGATTTCAATATTTCCGTTTTAGCCTCTAATGGAGGCAGCTGTCAAAAACATATCCCCGAGGTTTTCGTACGATCTTGAAAACGACGAAAACTTTGTTAGGTGAGTATACAGCGTCATGGGGGAACGAATATGTTGATTCACGTATTGTTAACCAAATAAAAGAAAACCACAATCTTCAATTGCACAAAATGTCTGTAAATATTGAGAACTCGATTGACTTTCGACACCCTTGTCAAATCAGATCAAGTCAAATCCAAATCAATAAAAATGTCTTACTGAATGGTTTTCCAGTGAAATACCTTACAACCCCAGAATTGTGACCCTAAGAAAATTTTTAAAAGACCCAAACAAAAACTGCATAGTAAGGCCCCCCCCCCCCCCAAAGTCTCCGGTTTCTGGTATGCGCGCGCGTCGCCGTAGCCATGCGCGTCGGTAAAATGAAAAAGTTTTTTTTTCAACGAAAGATGATGTCTGAAAACCGCCAAACTCACTGGTTTGACTGGAATCCTGCTGCTGTACAATTTTAACGTGTTTTTAGATTGGGTTATGGTCGAGAATAAGCTTTATGTGGCCTCTCTGGACTCCCATATATTTGCACTCAGTTTAGTCGGGCACCATTTGCAGTCATCAGTCGACATTTAAAGCAAAAAAATCAGGTAAAAATAAAAAGCCGCGTCGCCACACCACTTTTTGGGCAAGCTCCATACCAGAAACCGGAGACTTTTTTTTTTGGCCTAAAGGTAACCTGGTATAATATGACATAACGACACAAACGACGTGTGGAGCAACGAAAATGAAACACAAATTGTGTCTAAAGATTTATTTCGAAGGATCCAGCCACAAACGTAGGAAGTTCCAATTACAACATAACGTGTTTCTGTGTAAAAAAAAAAAGAAGAAGTTTGTCTAGCATTCCAAAAAGTCATTTGAAAATCTTAACTGAGCGTGAACGATTATTTTATCTGGAAATTTTAGCAAAAACTTAGTGAAGCTGAACGTCTTCATGTCCAGCCTACAGTATCAACACATCTTCCAAACACCTGAATACGGCGTAAGTATAATTATGAAACCGATTGTTAAACTAAATCCGGGGATTTGTTTAGTCTATCTTATTATATTTTTAAGCGGAGGGTCTCTGTCTCGGTAACCAGGACAAATATCTCTATCTTTTTTTCAATAAGATATTTGGTGCCTAAATACATATATCGAGATCAGATTTGCTTTTAAAATGCGGAAACAAATCGCTATAGGACAGGGTGTTTTAAACAAAGGGATTGGAAAAGTTATTAGATTAGTTGTTTATGCTTTATAATACAATGTTTAGAGGTAAACAGTTGGCTATTCTTTTGAGATATCTAGAGGGATGAGTTTAGGTAACAATATAGTCTAGAGAGTGTATTTTAGGTACAGGGACACTGGGGTACGCATAGCCCTACGTTTGAAATCGTGCACGGTATAGTAAGGTTCACTCTTGCGTACTAAATGCTTGACTAATACCGAAAACAGAAACTCAAATGTCATAATTATTTATTACCAGTGTCTGAAAGGTTTGTTATTATTTATTTGGGGGGGAGCGAGATCTTTTTTTGATGGGAAGGGTAGCAGTAGTAAATGCGTACTATCCACCCACTCACTCCGACATGCTATGATGTTGGGGCGAGCAGAAGCATGCACTTTACTTCAAAATCCAGGCTTATTATTAGAATAGCTAATTAAATGAGCCATTTTGGAATCTCTGAAACGGAAAGGGAGTCATAATGATTACTTATCTCTGTAATAAATTTTCCTTCCTGCTTTCCATCCAGTTTTACCCATTTTATTTTGCTACAATGTTGTGTCTCTTCAAGTGTGTTTCCTCCAGTAAAGGTTTCTGAATGTAGAGATACATTTAATACCAGGCAAAAATCTGGCCATTTGTTCTGCACACTCCACTTTCCAACTAACCCTCTGGCCCAACCCTGCCACATTGGTTCTCCATTAGAATTACGTCTGTTTTACGTCTGCCTTTCAGTCTGAGAACCTGATCAGCGACCTAGGGGGTCAGGTAGGGTTCTGGATGGGCTTCTCCATCCTGACCCTCTTCGAAATCGTGGAGATGATCTTCGACCTGATAGTGACCACATGCGGCAAACTTAAAATGAGGAAAAGGGTCTCGGACAAGCTGAAAGACATGGAAGGACTTGACGTTCCAACTGTCTCCTCCACTGTGAACACGATAACTCCAGTCGAGTAGGGACCAATCGGCCGCTTGAGGGCAGCAGATTGCATTGTTATTAACCCATCCGTTGCTGTGCAGTCTCACTCATTCTCAATCGTGTTTTAATAACTTTATGCTTATTTTCAATTCCTTCATTGTATTCAGAGATAAAATTAATTATATTTAGATACAAAATCAGAGTTTTTAGGCGTGCACATGCATGACTGATGTTAACAATAAGTGATAATGAATTGTTTTGAACTGGCTATAAAATGAAAGTACAATAATTACTTAAACATGAAATAAAATGTAAATATTCTAATATGTATGGATTCTAGATTTAGTCAGGCTTGCTTGAATACAGTTCTTAACAACGATCGGTTTAGATTTGTTATGTGTATATGACCTTTAGTCCTTCAAGTTTATCAAAAAAGTGTGTGTCCCAAAAGACATTTTAATCTTACATTTAAGTTGTATCCAATGACTCGTCTTTGTACGAGTGCTCTAAGTTCGACTAGTCCACATGCATTTTAGATTTTCAGAAGTTGGAGGTCAATTTTTGGCACGATATTTCTCTTCCACGTCATGCGATTTTCCAGTTTCCATAACTTGAGATGCTATAGTACCAATTTTACCAAGCTAACTTTCATATTTGAGGGGTCCGGAAGCGCGTTGGTATAGGGGCCAACTTTCAAGCTCTGTGCCCGGGCACTATCCGAGAATGTCGACAAAATGCATTCGGTAAACTTAGGACAGTTTTAGAAACCGGAGGAATTCCTCCCATTTTGTTCACTTGACCAAAGCGTCAAAATGAATGACCAAAAACGGATTTGCTTTTTGAATTTAACGCCGATCGCCACATGAGACACATTTACCGAAATTAGGGGATGACTTAGAATCCCTCGAAACATTTGAATGATATTGCATGCCATCCAATGGTGGCTTTTTATAATTGAAATTGAGAATTGAGCTCGACGGTGTTCGGGGACGAAATTAAACTATCACTATATGAAGTTTGTGTGATATAAGCGGTAAATAGGAAAAAAAGTATAATACAGGTTTTCCCGGCCTTTTTTTAAAACGTTTTTCATTCCGATGGCCCCTTTTTAACATTCTTTTAGTAAAACCAATTTAGTCATTTATCATTCAATTTCAACGTTTGGTCAACCTATTTAGTACTTGGTGAAGAATATTCGTCAATACATATTGAATTCGTCTTATATCAGTCAATTTAAAACTTTAAGTAAAATGTTAGTGTTTTAAAGTTATAGTGTTAAGTAAATTATTCTGGTGTGTGCTGAAACATTTTCCTTGTGTCCTCGATCTACTAAAACTTCATCCGGTTAGTTGTTAAGTACGGAAGCGTAGAAGGGCCAAAAGAAATTAAGAAAAAATTAGTTCCTATCTCGCCGCGGCGAGTTACTATCTCGCCGTGGCAAATTACTATTTTGTATCGGTGAGCGTCGGGCACAACAATTGCGATCCCTCCGGGTCATATGGAACGCCAAAGAGGCATCGGCGTAGCCAGGGTTTTCATCCTAGGGGACTTGGAGGGGGGGGGGCTTGAAGTTACAATGGAGGAGCGCCCCAAAATTTCAGGCCGTGAGACAGGGTTCCTTCACCGGATATCCGCCCAATACCCGCCCTAGTCTGGTGTCCCACATACCACTCGACCGAGCCACTATAGATGCACTACATTAATCCGTGTTCCACTCGCGCTCGCGGGATAACTAACTAAAACACATACATGGTCAACCGGTACGCTATACCATGGCCGCAACGTTGACGTAAATATGACGTGCGCGTTATTAGCATATTAATTAGCGTGACTCTGCGTGACTTCCCGTGGGTCTCGGTATAGACCAATCGAAAACAACCAAAAAAGTTAACATTTTTTGGGGGTGGAGAACTCGTGAAGGAGGGAGTCGTAAACTTTGTAACTGCATTCCATATGGATAGAACCTTATTAATATTCGTGACGCTTGAAAGTATTGAAAAATGACGAACTCAAAGCCTATTTTTCAAATTGTAATGAAAAATACTGAAAATATCAAAACGATAATTTTAGTACATAGTAGGACCATGATCTCTGAGATACGGTCTTCAAAACGGGAGTAAATGATGTTTAAAGAGTTAGCCCGCGAACATCCAAATGTCTGTGTAACGGTAATTTGAGCTATTTCATTCAAATAAATCGAAAGACGGTACATTACAATAATTACTTTCCCCGCCCTCTGAGAGATGCAATTATAATGTTGAATAGTTGGCAGGGTCATCATGGGCGTCGCCAGGATTTTTTCTAGAGGGGGGCAAAAAATAATTTTGCCAAAAAAATTCATGTATTTCTCAACACATTCTCCATTTATCAGTTTTAGAGGGGGGGCAGGGACATTTTGCCCCCCCCCCAACTCATTAAATTTACACCACTTTGTCTTCGCGCCTCTTTTTCTTTTCTTTTTTTTCTTTTTTTTTCTTCCTTTTTTTTGGGGGGGGGGGTTGCTTTTCCCGGGGGGGGGGGCAAGTGCCCCCCCCCCCTCGCGACGCCCATGAGGGTCATCCTCATCCCGTACGCTAATGGATCTGGCATTCCAAGTGGATAAATCACCTGTTGCCGCCTATTGAACTTTGTTTTCTTTCTTAATTTATTCTTAACAAAAAAAGAAAGGACAACTTTATCATTGCATATATTATTTCATTCATCGGACGTACTAACTAAAGAAATTAGAACCCAGCCCTGTGTGGGTGATTAGGGTGTTAGTTTTGCCAGAAGTTGATCACAGATTGCATAAATTCATCACCACTCGCGAAAATCCATCACCGATTGTGACAGTCAATCACCGATTGCAAAACTCCACTGCCTATCGATAAGGTGCATCACCGATTTGGTGATCACATTAAATGCCTCTTTGGCGTTCCATAGGACCCAAAGAGTATCGCTATTCGTCGTGCCTGACGTTCGCCGATGCAAAACAGTAAGTCGCCGCGGCGAGTTACTATCTCACCGCGGCGAGTTATTATCTCGCCGCGGCGAGATAGTAATTCATTTCGCGATATCGTAATTCGCCTCGGCGAGATAGTAATTCATTTCGCGATATCGTAATTCGCCGCGGCGAGAAAGTAAATCGCCGCAGCGAGATAGTAACATGCCGCGGCGAGATAGTAATTCGCCGCGGCGAGATAGGAACTAAATTTTTCTTAACTTCTTTTGGCCCTTCTACGCTTCCGTAGTTAAGCACCCGTTTTCAGTTCAGGTAAAAGTTGCGAGGGCAGAATACTTTACATCAATCCAAGCTCATATGCATGGGTTCACGTATGTGAATTACTTTGCCGAGGAGTAAACTGGGGAAATGACAAAATGAAGGTTTTGCTTATGACAAAGGTCCGGCCAGAATCGTTTCATGTTTCATTAAGATGAACGTTTCATATCAGTTGTGATCTCTTTTTTTTTTAAACATACTATACACTATTTTAATTGATGTATATCGATATATTTTGCTTTCTGCATATTTTTTCTCAAATACAGACAGGGGAGTTTTCAACGTTTTCTTACTAATTGTAAAATATGTTGACTTCCTGACCAGACCTTAAATCAGTGGCGTAAATCTGTGCCGGCGAGTGGGGGGGGGGGCGCTCGTACCCCCCCCCCCCCCCTTCACCCTGCAAACAGGACGCTGGGATACGCTGATGAGCTTCTGAAGGAAGTGACCTAAGTGACAGAATCTTGTAAAGGAAGTGGCCTATGACCTATGAATAAAGCACCTGGTTGCAGCTGTTTAAGACCGCAGTTAGCCCATGCGCGCAAATGCTATCCGAAAACGTTCCCATAGAAATGCGCACATTCCATACCGGGTGTGATTTCTGTTTCATTGCGGACCATGTGGACAAGATTTTGAGCGTCGCATTATAATGCAGTCCGACCGCTTGTGATTCGAAACGGAGCCTGAGCAAGTGACGGGAATTGTTAATTTACAACACAGACAGGTTTTACAGAGTTTCCTATATTATTACGCTTTTCAACGAAAAAAAATCTCAAATAAATCAGTCTAAACGGCCGTTTCAAACCTTGCAAAGTCATGACCGTGATGACCTGCAGGTCACGGTACACGCAAAATCTAACTAATCAGAGCGCGAGTTCATCAGATGATCCCATCGTCCTTTTTGCAGGGCGGGGTTACGAGTGAAGTGGGGGGAGGGATGACCAAAAACCAAAAATTGCCCGTCCGTGAAAATTCAAAAGGTGGGGAGAGGGGGTGGGGGTGGACACCACATTACAATAGGGGGCGCTCTTCAGGATCATATCTCAATGTGTACCGTATACTCGCGCTTACATCAAAACGGTGCATTTTAAAAGCTTTTGTACTTTGTTTCTCCACTTTTCAGTACTATTGAAGACATTTTGGTAGATGGGATGTTCGAAAAATACTTCAAAATCTCAATTTTTTCTCATCGCGAAAAGTTGGAGGGGGATGATTCAATAGCCAGTCCCCCCGGTCTAAAAGTGGAGGGGATACACACCCCCACCCCCCCCCCCCCCCCCCCGGATTTACGCCCCTGCCTTAAAGTAAGATTTGACATTTTGGCGAAATCTGCTGACTGTCACCTTCAAATCCAGTCTACGTATATATTCCGAAGACAACCACGAAGACACCTGTAAGGTCAAAATTACGAAGCAAGATATTAAAATTTTCCTCGAATTACTTTCTCACCGCGGCGAGTTATTATCTCGCCGCGGCGAGATAGTAATTCATTTCGCGATATCGTAATTCGCCTCGGCGAGATAGTAATTCATTTCGCGATATCGTAATTCGCCGCGGCGAGATAGTAATTCATTTCGCGATATCGTAATTCGCCGCGGCGAGAAAGTAAATCGCCGCGGCGAGATAGTAACTCGCCGCGGCGAGATAGTAATTCGCCGCGGCGAGATAGGAACTAAATTTTTCTTAACTTCTTTTGGCCCTTCTACGCTTCCGTAGTTAAGCACCCGTCTTCAGTTCAGGTAAAAGTTGCGAGGGCAGAATACTTTACATCAATCCAAGCTCATATGCATGGGTTCACGTATGTGAATTACTTTGCCGAGGAGTAAACTGGAGAAATGACCAAATGAAGGTTTTGCTTATGACAAAGGTCCGGCCAGAATCGTTTCATGTTTCATTAAGATGAACGTTTCATATCAGTTGTGATCTCTTTTTTTTAAAAAACATACTATACACTATTTTAATTGATGTAAATCGATATATTTTGCTTTCTGTAAATTTCTCTCAAATACAGACAGGGGAGTTTTCAACGTTTTCTTACTAATTGTAAAATATGTTGACTTCCTGACCAGACCTTAAATCAGTGGCGTAAATCTGTGCCGGCGAGTGGGGGGGGGGGAGTTTGGCTGGTACCCCCCCCCCCCCCCTTCACCCTGCAAACAGGACGCTGGGATACGCTGATGAGCTTGTGAAGGAAGTGGCCTAAGTGACAGAATCTTGTGAAGGAAGTGGCCTATGACCTATGAATAAAGCACCTGGTTGCAGCTGTTTAAGACCGCAGTTAGCCCATGCGCGCAAATGCTATCCGAAAACGTTCCCATAGAAATGCGCACATTCCATACCGGGTGTGATTTCTGTTTCATTGCGGACCATGTGGACAAGATTTTGAGCGTCGCATTATAATGCAGTCCGACCGCTTGTGATTCGAAACGGAGCCTGAGCAAGTGACGGGAATTGTTAATTTACAACACAGACAGGTTTTACAGAGTTTCCTATATTATTACGCTTTTCAACGAAAAAAAATCTCAAATAAATCAGTCTAAACGGCCGTTTCAAACCTTGCAAAGTCATGACCGTGATGACCTGCAGGTCACAGGACACGCAAAATCTAACTAATCAGAGCGCGAATTCATCAGATGATCCCATCGTCCTTTTTGCAGGGCGGGGGTACGAGTGAAGTGGGGGGAGGGATGACCAAAAACCAAAAATTGCCCGTCTGTGAAAATTCAAAAGGTGGGGAGAGGGGGTGGGGGTGGACACCACATTACAATAGGGGGTGCTCTTCAGGATCATATCTCAATGTGTACCGTATACTCGCGCTTACATCAAAACGGTGCATTTTAAAAGCTTTTGTACTTTGTTTCTCCACTTTTCAGTACTATTGAAGACATTTTGGTAGATGGGATGTTCGAAAAATACTTCAAAATCTCAATTTTTTCTCATCGCGAAAAGTTGGAGGGGGATGATTCAATAGCCAGTCCCCCCGGTCTAAAAGTGGAGGGGATACACACCCCCCCCCCCCCCCCCCCCGGATTTACGCCCCTGACTTAACTTTAGATTTGACATTTTGACGAAATCTGCTGACTGTCACCTTCAAATCCAGTCTACTTATATA